GCTCGGTCCGCGATGGGGCAGAGGCTTCACCACCTCCCGCCTGGCAGGAGGGAGCAGAGGTCTCGCTGCGTCCCTGCGCTTCAATTCCCCCCCTGCCCCACACCGGAGGGGACTTGTCCTGGGGGGTGGGGGGGGAGGACAGGATTCATGGGGTTAATCCCAATTGCCATCGCCTCAGGGGCTGCTGTAACCCCAGCCGGGGCCAAAACCCGGGGGGGGGGGCCAAATGAGAGCTTGAGGCTGGATTTAGGCAAACTCCCAGAGTCCTCATTTTTAACCATTTCCTTCCCTCCCTCCGCCAGCACGTTCAGTCAGTAGGGATCGTTACAGGAGGTCAGCACAGCCCGGCACTGCCTGCGCACGAAATAAATGCCGTGACTCACTGGGGGGAAGGAAACCAGCCTGAAATGTGCCCACGAGCCGCGCCAGGCTGCCCATCACCCTTGCGCCTGGCTCCCCACTCTTTGGGTAGCTCTGCTGTGTATTTTTAGCCACCCGAGAGGGTGGGCAGACGGGTAGCGGGACGGGGATGTCGCTCGCTGACACGACCTGACACCAGACGGGATTTTTCATCGACTCAAGACAGCTTTAAAAAGTCAGCCCTAGAGTGAAAAAGCAAATTAAGGTAATTGTTGCAGAGAACATACACCACGTACGGTGTCACGGTGAAGGATGAGCGTTATTAGACCCCCTCCAGCTGGTTCTGCTCTTAGAGAAGAGGGAAGGCGTTTTAAAGAGAAGGCTTTAATGTGCAAATAACATCCTCCCGATTTACCTCGCTAGGTTACCTGATTGTTACCCATGCTTTAGAAAGCCTGACTCTACAGCATCCACAGATCCCATCACCGTGGCTTCTAGCCCCCCATTTTCCGACCCACCAGCTGATGCTGGAATTAAACACATTTCCCAAGGAACGAATAAACGCCGTCCTCCGAGCCCCTGGGACAGGAGGGGCTGCGGACACGCGCAGAGCCCAGCACGCGCCTTTGCCCCTTCTTACGTGGCCGAGCCCGCCTGGAGTTTCACGGGGGTCGTTGGCAGAGTTGCTCCACGTTGGCAGGGTTTAGGCTGGGACTAGTTAGGCTCCACTGGGGTAAACCCATGCCCGTGTGGGATAGGGCTGTGTAATGGGATCGGCTCGAGTTCAGACCTTGTTGATGGGGAGATGCTGGCCATTTGCCTTGTGGCCCTGGGGACATCTCCCAGTGTCACCTCCCGTTGCCCTTGGGCCCGCACAGAGCGCCCGAGCAGCCTGCAAGCAGGGCTGGAGCGCATCCTGCGGGGCTTAGGGACCGCGGGGTCCCTTGGGGATGCAGCGCTGAGGATGCTGCAGAGCCTTGTGCGTGCCAGGGAGCAGGTACACGCAGGCCCCTGCTCCACGGCCCCCAGCTGAGCTCCCCGAACGGGCACCCGGCACCCCAGAGAGCTGAGCACAGATGAAACCCAAAGCACTCCTTGCCCAGAGCAGCCAAAACCCAGCCGTCTGCCCGGAGGGAGCTCAGCCTCCCCAGCACCCTCCGACAGCAGCGCGGCCGACAGCCCTGACGGCGACCGGCGCTGCAATTACTGCTGCATTGTCGGGAGCTTTTAAAAATACCCCTGGAAGCAATTTGCAGCTGCGAGCTCAGGCTTGCGATTGCCCACGTCCCCGCAGAGCCCATCAACCCCCCGCCAGCTCCCGCACAGGCTGCAAGGGCATCCCTTTGCTGGGCGCCGGGTTTGTTAAGCCAGGCTTTTTAAACCCGAGGCGGTGGCTTTTGGCAGCTTCAGGAGTTTTGCAAGTTGTTTCTTCGTGTCTTCCCTTTCTTTTCCGAGAGGTTTGGAGAGCTAAGGGGTCCCTTCCCAGGGAGCCCAGACGCTGGCATTGCTGCTGGAACGCGGAGCCGCCCTGCGCTCGCTCCATCCCCTCAAGCCTCGTCTCTCCGTCAACACCTTCCAGATTGTTTCGTTCAAGTGCGTGACTTCCCAATCAAGGCACTCGCTTAATTGCGATGGGTTTGGCAGCCCGGGGAGCTCCATCAGCAGAAGCAGCCCGTTCGCTCTGCTGAGGGGGATAAACCTCTTTCCTGGAGCCGCGGCTTCGTCTGCAGCTCCGGGGGAATCACCAAGATGGACCCCCCCCTCACCCTGTGCGGTGGGTTTGACCCTCAGCCCAGTCCTGGAGGGGGCTGAATCCTGCCCCAAAACCCCAGCTCCGGAGGATAAATTGAGTCATGCCCGTCATGCCCATCGCTGCTTTGCCCTCACGGCCCCATCCTGCCCGGGGAGGGGGGCTACAGCCCCG